TGCACGCAGGGGGTGATTTAGAAGCAAAATCAAACAGACAGCATGTCGCACCAATAATATCCATTTTAACAAACGGAATAAAACTAAACTAATCATTAATTTGATTATTTTATGTGCCATCAGTCAGAGACCTTAAAAATTTTCTAAATGACAGTGGAATTCACGTATTAGAATGGCTAGGTAACTCACTTCATTTGAACTCCATAAAAAAAAAAAAAAAAACGCAAGGCGCGTCGTGAAACACAAGTGCAATAGGCCAGACCTAGCAACATCAAAGATCTGCTGGAGACACTGAAGAAGCTATTGGTTCACATGGATGTCTCCTATTTTGTCAGTCTGTGTTTATATATATAAATATATATATATGATATGTGTGTATAAATACATATATAAACAGATATATATATATATATATATATATATATATATATATATATATATATATATGCATATATAAATACACACATACATATATATATTAAAACACACACAAGCACACGCATATACATATATACACTGGCACATGCATATGTGAGCAGATGCAGCAGCAGCAAATGCAGCAGATTCAGCAAATGCAGCAGCAGATGCAGCAGCGGCAGCAGATGCAGCAGCAGCAGCAGATGCAGCAGCGGCAGCAGATGCAGCAGCAGCAGCAGATGCAGCAGCGGCAGCAGATGCAGCAGCGGCAGCAGATGCAGCAGCAGCAGCAGATCCAGCAGCAGATGCAACAGCACCAGCAGCAACATGAATCAATCCAATGCTGGATGTAGGTCTCTCCCAATCTTTTCCAACTTTGTCTATCTTGGCCCCCAAATTTCGGTATTTCGTCATGCCATCTTGTCATTGATCTGGCCCTTGGCCTCTTTATCTTCTCTATAGCCCAGTCTGTTACTTTCTTTGTCCATCTGTCGTCCTGTCTCCGACATATATGACCTACCCATTGCCATTTCTTCTTTTTGATGCTCCCAAGTATATCTTCCACTTTTGTCAGTCGCTTGATCCACGTCGCCCTCATCCGATCTCGTAGGCTAATTCCCAGCATCAACCTCTCCATCCCTCTCTGGGCACTTATTAGTTTCCTCTCCAGTAATTTGATTGCACTTCATGTTTCTGATCTATAGGGAGGACGCATTGGTTAAGGACTTTTCTTATTAAACATAATGGCAAGGAGCATCTTAGTATGCTACTCTGTTTGCTGAAGGCTTAATTTCCTCTTCGCTAGATGTGTTTGTCTGTACGAGTGCTCTAGATATATATACTTGTCCACTACCTCTAGCGCTTCGCCTTGTGCGTGTATCTGTTCGAACTGAACTCCACTTTTGAACATGATCTTAGTCGTTTTTTTGTTCATCCTAAGTCCGACTTTCAGACTTCCTCTATTCAGATCGTTTAGTAGTTGGATTTGATTCGCAGATTCGCCGAAGAGACCAATATCATCTGGAAATCTTAGGTTGTTTAGGGATTCGTCTCCTATTTTGATACCCTTTCTGTTCCATTCTAGCTTCTTGAATATTTCCTCAAGACAAGCTGTAAACAGATTTGGTGAGATGGTATCGCCCTGTCTAACACATATTTTAATTGGTATTTTATCAGTTTCCTTGTGGAGTTTGATGGTTGCAGTCCCATATTCGTATATGTCTAATATTTCACAATATACTTCCTCTACTCCCTGTCTTCGAATATCTTCTAATATTGCTTGTATATGTACAGAGTCAAACGCCTTTTCATAATCTATGATTTCCTAAATTCGTTTATTTTTTTCTCTTTGGGTGAGCGTGTGGATTTGGTCTTTTGTGATGACTTTTGTGAACAGTTTGTAAATAACTGAAAAGAGGCTTATGGGTTGGTAATTTTGTTCGATCCTTTCTATCCCCCTTTTTATGTATCAAAGTAATTGTTGCATTTTTCTAGGCTTTCGTAGATTTTCCGTTGAGAAGGCATTTGTTAAAAAGATTGGCTAGTTTCACTATCGCAATTTCCCTTGCATCTATTGTAAGGAATACTAATTCCGTCTTCACCTAGTGTTTTCCCTCTCTTCATGCCTTTAAGTGCTCTTTTTATTTCTTCTGCTGTGATGTTAGGTACGTCTCTAGTTATCGCGTTCGCTTCTGCCCGTGGCTGTTCATTTGAATTTTTTTAGATCCCAGTAAAAATCTTCCACTACTCTTATGATTTCATTCTTATTATATGTCACTTTATTGCATACATTTGATTTCTCCCTATTCCGAGCTCCTTTTAGCTGTTTTTTTATGCTGGTACCTGAGATCACTGTTTCATTTATTGTTTGAGTATTGAATTTCTGTGCATCTTCTCACTTCTTTTTATTATAGTCTTTGTTAGTTCAGTTGATTCTATTTTTTTCCCTGTTTGACGATACTTTCATGAATCTACGTTTTTTCATAAGCCGTTTAGTTTCTACCGAGAGCTTGCTGTAGTTTTGCTTGACGTTCTTACCGACTACTTCCTCTATTATGTCATTGAACTGTTTGTTGATTTAGTCAGTGTTGAGATCTTCGTCTCTGAGAAGTGAATATCTGTTTTAGATGCTAAGGTTAAAATCTGCCACTCTGGTCTTCGAGTTAGCTAAATTTGGCTACGGTTTTCGTATTAGTTTATTCCTTTCCCTTCTGAGGTGTAATTCAATTTAGCTTCTGACCATTCTATGGTCGCTGCCAACATTAACTTTATTAATAACTTCTACATTTTTTTTTTTTTTACTATATCGGGCCTATTTGAAATGAAGTCAGTTTCGTTTTTTTTTTATGTCGGATGGCGACTTCCATGTCCACTTCCGCTCTTGTTTTTTTTTCGAGGAATATCTTCATGATATTGAGAGATTGATCCTCCGCAAAATCGATTAGCATTGGCCCCCTTTCATTCCTAGGGCTTATCCCGCGATTCCCCACTACGGCTTCTCCTGTCTTTTTACCTATATGGGAATTAAAATCTGTAGTTATTGCGAAGTGGGTTTTTACTCTCTAAATGAACATCTTCACCGTGGCTGCAGGTTGAAGCATAGAGCTGAACAATCTTTAAGTTGTACCTATTGCTTAGTTTTATTGTTACTAAAGCCACTCTTTCGCTTACGCTATATAATTCCACGATATTCTTTTCTAAACGTTTGTGAACTAAGAAACCTACCCCTAATTCCTGTTTGCTACCCTGGGGTTCACCTCTCCAATAGAGCACGTGTCCATCATTTAGTATCTTCTGTTTTTCGCCTAGTTTTCTAACTTCACAGAGTCCTACAACATCCCATTCAATGAAAGAGAGTTTCTCAAGTAATACTAGTAAGCCTGTTTCTAACATTATAGCACCCTCTGCTCCGGAGCGATCGTGATCGCCGCCGTAACTGGGGCTCCTTCGCCTCCGGGAAATGAGGGCCGTTGCTCTGTTTGTGCAGACATGTTTTTTTTTATTGGGAGGTAGACAGCCGAGTTACCCCCACTTACTGGCTTAGGTTTATCTTGGTGGGAGGGGGAGCAGTTTAGCCGGGATGCAACTGATAAACCCCTCCAGCAGGGTTAGCCCTGCCTAGTGTGGGCTTATGAGCAGCAACGCGCGGGCCTGCTCACTACACCAGGGTATACTCCCATGAGCATGGGCTTGAGTATCAGAAGTGCATATGTGTGTGATTACATTTTAGGCACTGATTTCGTTTATGTGTATGTGCACCTAGTGCAGACATAGTTGTTCAAATGCCCTGAATACTACGCATTTGTTCATTATCGTGCACGTGCATATGCACGCATACACCTATGCATACTCCTACTTTACACAATTACACACATGCACACGCATACAAATATAGACATTTGCGCACATCATGCGCACATACATATATGCGAACACACATGCGCTCATATTTTGTACACATACTTATGACTATACATACTCATATAAATATAGCCATACATAACACATTAGTGTTTATCCACATATATATGTATATCCCTGCACATGCACACATATGCACATACCTATATAGATACATATATACGCATAAATAACACATTATTGTTCACCCACATATATATGTATATACCCGCACATTCACATATATACACATACCTATGTAGATACACATACACATACTTATACATACATGCATATACACACATACATACACACACTTACATACACACACATACATACGCACACATCCATACACACACACCTACGTACACACACACCTACATACACACACACCTACATATACACACATACACATATATATAGATACACACCACATACCTTTACACACATACACATACACTATATATATATATATATATATATATATATATATATATATATATATATATATATATATATATACACATACATACATACATACATACATACATACACATGCATACATACACATATAAACTCCCACCTACACACATACGTACATTTACATATGTACATTAATATATATATATATATATATATATATATATATATATATATATATATATATATATATATATATATATATATATACATGTATACATGTATACACACACACACACATAAGTATATATGTACATATGTACATATATATGTACACAAATGTACATATATACATGTCTATAGGATGTACATATATATATATATATATATATATATATATATATATATATATATATATATATATATATATATTATATACATATATATACATACACATAATGTATATGTACATATATATGTACATATATACATACATAATACTTTATATACTTATATACATATATATCTATATACATATATATTTATTTATATATGTATATATAGATAATATTTGTATATTTATGTAAATACATATAGGTAGATATGTTGTGAGTATTATTGTAGGTTTTGTAATTTAGAATATACCCGTATATTTTTGGGTTCGATACATTTTTGTGGTCATGTTTGTATTTATTGATGTCATTAAAGCATTTCTTCCACCTATATATTATTTGCTGTACTGATGACCTTTGTGTATTGCAGGCTTATGGTTGTGAAGATAGAAAGTGAAGCAAGCTACAGAGAAGATTAGTGAGGAGAGAGGCAGTCATGGACCAGCTCGGTGGGCAGCCTTTGCCCCAGGCAACTGTTCAACCAGCTGTGTGGTATAACTACAGTACCACCTACAATGACTTCCTTGTCAATCACCCAGTTCAGTTGCAAGTTGCTGTGCCGACTGTCCAGATGGTTGCAGCTCCATCTCAAACTCCTACTCCTGTTCCTACTGAAGTAGATTCCTTAGACATAGCTGTTAACATGGTTCCACCCAAATCAAAAAAGTCGAAGAAACCGCAGCCAGATAACCAAGAGAGAAACTTCCATTGTCAGGATTGTGGTTCTTCCTTTACCAACAGTTCAAATCTCCGTAGCCATATGCGAATACACTCTGGTGTGAGACCATACGTTTGTGAGGAGTGTGGTAAATCTTTCATTCAGAGTTCTAATTTAAAGGCACACAAAAGAGTGCATACTGGGGAAAGACCTTACCAGTGCTCTGAGTGCGGGCAGACATTTTCTCGTTCTTCGCATTTGGTCGGACATAAAAGAACTCACACAGGAGAGAGGCCATATATTTGTGGAATTTGCTCTGAGGCATTTTTCACATCATCGCATCTGAGAAATCACGTTCGGCGTCACACAGGTGAGAAACCATATGTATGCCAATATTGTGGGGAGTCTTTTGGGCAGAGTGTTGAATTAAGGGTACATCATCGCTATCATACAGGTGAAAAACCCTTTAAATGTCGGGAATGTGACACAGCACTTATTTCAGCAAGAGAACTTAAAGCCCATAGAAAGGTACATCACCTAGGATCTAAGCCTTTCAAATGTGAGCAGTGTGACAAATGTTTTAGGACTCTTACCTTCTTGACGAAGCACAAAGTACGCTGTAAGGGTCCTAGGCCTAAGCGGCCTAAGGGAAGACCCCGCAAATATCCAAGAGCCGATGGCGAGGAGCCTCCATGGAAGAAGCCAAAGAAAAGGAAGAACAGGAGACCAGCAGCACCAACTGATCGAGTATCACGATCCAGGAGCAAAGCTATTATTGATGCCCAGTTGAAGCAAGAAACTGAAGATGCCCCTGAAGCTGAAGCAGAAAAGCAGCAAAATAGTGAACAGACAGATAAGGAAGATGATAACATACAGCCTGAGACTGAACAAAGTGATGAGCAGACTATCCAGTTAGAAGGAGCAGGGCTAAAGACTGAGGTGGAACTAGAGCACATAACTCAACTCCCAATGGTGCAGGTAATGCTTGATAATCTTGGATCTGAGGCTGAGGGTTTGGATGGTACACATCCTCAAGCACTAGTTCTTCAGTCATCAACAGGCACTGTCCATAGTCTCCATGCCTTATCAGAACATACAGAACAACAAATAGGAGTAATGGACTTATCAGGTCAACAGATCCATCAGGATGATCAACAGCAAGTAGAAAGTGTCCAGCAAGCCATCAGTATAATTCCTGCTCATCAGTCATTACCTGTAGTATCTTCAGGACATCAGCAGCAGTTGGCAGTGATCACTGCTCATCAACAATTACCTGTTGTGACTGCACATCAGCCAACTCTGAGTGCCCATCAGCAGTTACCAACAGCAAATGCTCATCAACAAGTCTTGAGTGCTCATCAGCAGTTACCTGTTATAAGTGCACACCAACAGGTACCTGCCACAAATGGTCGTCAGCAGGCAGCAAACAGTCACCTTCAGTTGCCAGTTGTTAGTGCTCATCAGCAGACAAGTACCACACACCAACAAATGCCTGTAGTAACTGCTCATCAGCAAGTTGTTAATGCACATCAACAGTTGCCTGCAGTAACTGCACATCAGCAAGTAGCGAGTGCTCATCAGCAGGTGGTTACTACTCACCAGCCAGTCTCTGTGCTTGCAGCTCATCAACATGTGTCAGCACACCAACAGGGTCTGGTAGTCACTGCACACCAACAAGTGCCTGTTGTATCTGCACATAAGCAGAGCAGTCTTGGGTCTAGTGGTAGTTCCACTGTAGTTTATGAAGCAGGACAGCCTTATGTGGTGGACCTCTCCAGTCCAGCACTCACTTCGCAGGTTCCCCTTGTCAACCAAAGTGTTACAACTACCCAGTATGCCAGACCTTAGTGTAACACAGGTCCTGACCTCGCCTTGTCCTGTCTTGTCTTTTATAAGTCCTTTTTAGACAACGATACTTTATGCTCGTCTCCAAATATGTGCCACATCTAGAGAGCCACCAGCTTGCCAGACATGCTGTGGACTTTATCCGGAATGTATAAAAGTATCAAGTAGCCTGTGCAGTCCAAACTTAAGCTGGAAATGGTTGTAACTGAAACTCAAAATGTACAGGTTTGTCATAGTAGTTAAAAAAATAATCTTTTACATGTGTTCTTGCATTTGTGAATGTATATGACAGCTTACATACATCTCCTCTAGGCTTATTGTAGTGTTTCTTGACACTTATTTGTGATGACCAATGTAGTTTCTATGCATTGCTATTATATTGTTACTATTTGAAAGTATAAGACTTGAAGATTTTTAACTTTGCAAGCTTATGAATACACAATTTGATATGTGATTGCAGTTAGTGCCGTAAGTAGGAGGAGCTAAGGCTCTTAAATTAGATATTACGTAATATTAAGATCCTGAATGAGAAGTTCCCAATGTGTTTAGTGTGTACGGTTTGTGAAGTGAAGAAGAGGCATTGTTAATTTTTATGGTAATTCTTAAAGGTTTTATTCCCTGACTTAAAGTGCGTAAGAGAGAGTAATGAAAGATTTTCTTACGGACATGTTCAAAGGTAAATGCAGTGCTATTAAAGCTTTTTTTTTTTCTTATTTGTTTTTTTTTTTGACTGACTGACCTATAGTGTCTTAGCAGTGTTGGCATTATTTAATGGAATAGTTTGTGCAGGTTATTAAGTACTGACTAGTTACTTCCTGTTTCAAGGATAGAGCAAGTACCTAATGATATTGGTTATGAAATAACCATGAAATGTATATTTGTCTGTGTGAAACAGAATGAGAACATTTGTGTTTGTGCATGAAATTATACATCATATTTAGAAACTTGAAAGTTACAACTTCTTTTCTATTCAGTTCAGTGTTACTTAAAATTGTGTGAAAAAGATTGGCATTCAGTCCATGTTTTATATAACAATGGAATTATTTCTGCCATTTGTGATACTTCTTTCATGAAATAAAAACATAATGCTATGGATTTACCATGTTGATCTAATAATCAATACATTGTGTAAAAGTACTTTAAAATAATTTCATGTTTTTTAAAGGTTAATGTAGAAATTTAATTGGAAGAAGAAACTTATGTTTCAAAATAAATCCATTAATACAGTATTCATGTTATCATAGCTATGGACATGTTTGCACAAACACATTGACATCAATGAAATTATGTATGCATACTAAAGTATAATTAAGCCATGCAGTTAGAGTACTTGTACAGCATTGAAGTTTATCCTGAAAAAAAGTCAAAGTATTTGTGGATAAATAGCATCACAAAGCAGATGATGCTATGTACATTTTTTCAAACGGTTTTGCCCGGAAGATTTGAGAAACTAGTTACAGAATCTTGAAAAGTGGCCCCTGGTAGTCTTCCAATGTTTTTGTTTGTTAAAGATCACTTAACTTTAAGTATTTCCTTTACCGAGAATTTTATCTCCCGATGAAGGTCATGCGGTTGCAGCTACAGAAAGGTCCATCTTATTTGTGTTGCTTACAAGATCTGTCTGTAACTTTATTCTGATTTCTCGTCTGTTTTGTACTCTGCCGTAGGTTTCATTCTGTGATTTTTTTTCACTCAGTTCGTAAGCATTTCAAAAAGTGTTGGTTTACCGGAAAATGTAACTAGTCCTTGTCAAAACAGAAAAGACATTGCAGTATATATCTGCTGTTAAGATAGTTAAGTTCATTTACAGTCTTTTGTGATGTACATATGTTACATAAATTTTCATTTAATAATTGACAAAGATTGATGAATAGCTTACTTTAATTGCTTTTCCTATTTGCATAAAAAGAGAACAGGTGGATACAGTTCAGAGTAAACGAGTAATGTGTTTATTTAATTTAGTTGATTATACCATAAAGATCTGTTCGAAATTAGCACTGTTTTTATAGAATTAATTTAAATAGTTGTAGAATCTCTGCATCAGTATATTGATTTTATTTTTTTTAATTATTAATTTTGTACAATTATTTTAGCAACTTGTAATTTGCATTTTTTAGTTACACTGTAGGAATAAAGTATGGAAAAATTATTATATTAGTAATGTAAAGCCAGTAAAAAAAAATGAAGAGGAATATTCACTACCATTTTTTTTTTCTTTTTTTTATTTGTAGAATATATAGGAATAGGTGTAATCATTTATGTAAAAAAAAAATGCCATATGAAAGTGTGAAGCCACATTGAATATCAAACTCAGTAGCTGATATTCTAATGTAAACTTTTTTTTTTTTTTTTTTTTTTTTTTTTTTTTTTTTTTTTTTTTTTTTTTTTTTTTTTTTTGTAAATATTCTATTTGTATCTCCAGATTTGATAAATATTAAGTCTTTTTTTTTTATTCTGAGGACTGTTGGAGAGGGTGTTTTTCTTGGTAGAACCCTCACGTTTCTGAAATTTGTTAAAGTAGCAATACATCTGATACTTAGAAACATTCTCTATGATTGTAGTTAGATTTCTATTTTTTTCCCCCTTTTTGCATTTATTTTTACTGAAATTCTTCCAATTTATCTGCTTTGTATGATAGGCAAAGAAACTAGTTTGGAGCTGAAAAGTGAAAAATGGACAAGACACTTTGTGTATTTCACACAATGATTGAATCTTTGAGAAAGAAGATGCTTGTGTCTTGATCTTCTTTATTTTTTTACCCTTAAATGGAAATCTGTTTTAAGAGATTTTACATCATGGTTGCCATAATTTGTTACACTATGCAAAGATAAAAAAGAATCCTGCATATTGTGGAATAAAAGTTAACTACTATTGTATCATCTTTTCATTAGTTTTAACCTGTTTATTGTATATATATAAAGGAAATATCACTAACAGAAATATTTGAAATATGCAATTGTGATTCTTTCACTTTGAGCTTTTAACCCATTGGTTCCCTGATCACTTTAGTTTTTTTTTTCTGAATATGTTTATACACACCTGGCTCAACAAGTGCTTAGATCTACTTAACTGACCAGATATCCCTTTTTCTTGAACTTTTGCGAATGTTTTATTTTTTCTAATGCTATTGATATCATTACTGTTGTTATTAATGGCATTAGGATTATTAAAATGTTAATATCAAAATTCATAATAAAAAGGAATTAAAAAAAAAAGCAAAATCAATAAAAAGAGTACACAGGTAAGGTCAGGACAAGTAATTAACTCTAACTCTTTGGTGACTAAGCTCTTATGGAGTCAAATATGTCAGAAATATTCAGCTAAGGTCACAGTGGACATGGCAAGTACATCATCCTATTGTACCATTATTTTAACAGATTGTTCTTCCTCAGATGTATAAATACCTTTCATTTGATCTAATCACCTTTTGTCCTTAACCCTTCCCCCTTCTATCAATCCCTATCCTACCCTGTTTACTCCCCTTCTTTCTACTCCTTTCACTACCATGCTGTCTTATAATGCCATATGACTTGTTGTTCTGTTCAAATGAAGAACTTCTTTAAACCGCTCCCACCACACTATAGCACCATAGTGCTATATGGCCTTTGATGTTGAACACATTTATTGTTTTTTAAAACATTAAACAAACATCAGGCTAAGACTAGTTTGGTAATGGTTAATGGACTAAAAGCAAATAAATGTGCTCAACATCAAAGGTCATATAGCTCTATAGGGAGGTATACTAGCAAGAATGGGTAAAGAGGAGGGTTAAGGAGTTCATGATAAAATGTACCACATCTAAAGTCGTACAGCAATATGATATTGAAAAGAGGGCGAGGGTGAAGAGGACGAGTAAAGGGGTAAGAAAAGTGGAAACGGGGGGGCTAACAGTTACAAAGCAAAATAAATATGCTAGACTGAAATTCATGTAGAACTATATATAGGTCTAGTAGTGAAAAGGCTAAAGAGAAGGGGGTATGATTAAATGTGTTATATGCGATGTATTGGGAGGGAGTGGGAGAAAGGGGTGTAGGGAGAACATGAATAGAAGGAAGATGGATGTTGGCAGTTACTTAAGTGTAGAGGGAATGGGAGTCAAGAGATTGGGGGGAGGGAGGGAGAGGGAGGGAGAGAGAGGGAGAGGGAGAGAGAGGGAGGGAGGGAGGGGGGGGGAGGTTGATGTAGGAGAGGATGCAGTAGAAGATGGAGTGGAATGTTTATTTTGTCTTGTGCAATGAGTTAGTGAGGAGCAAGAGGGTTAGGTACTGGGGAACTAGAGATTGGAGTGTCTAGAATAATAGTGGGGTGTCTGGGGATAGGAGTGGGATGAGGAAGAGATACTGGGGCTGATGTATAAGTATCTTGGGAGGGTGGGGAAGGGGCAGAGCAAAGCACAGGATTGAAGTAGGGAGTTAGAGAAAAACCTCATCAATTTCCTATCAGGCCACACAGAATGAGGCTAGTATCTGAGAACTGTCACCTCAGACTCAAACTTCTAGGTAGGGCAGCTGCTTGAAAATACACCAATATTGGCACACATGTGACTGTACAGACCATGTTGGGTACATATAGGGCTGTGTAGTGGCAGAGTTTGGCAGGCTGGATGTTGACATAGGAAGGTTGATATGGTCAGATAGGGAGGGACACATAACATCAAGGGGAAGGTCTATGGAAAGTAATCTTGGTGGAGGACTACAATGGCCTCTAGGAGGAATGGTGTAGCATTATACCAATGGAACATAGTTCAAGGGGTAGACAAGTCGGTCCGGGAAAGGAGGAGTCCAGGGCGATTAGATCAAATGGAGGATACAGGTCCATGAGAATGGAAACGGCAAATATGCCAGCATAGAAGAGGTATTATGAAACAAGTGATAAGGGTAAGAATGGGTTTCAGAGAAGTAGGAGAAAAATTGGGGGAATGAGAAAGGATCAGGGGCAAGTATTTGGAGGAAGGGCACTGTTGTGACAAAATGAATCATATGCATTTCCAAGAGGGAGTGGAAGGGATATCAGGGAAGGAAGGGGGTTGGTGCAGATGTAGCATGGGTTATGGGGTGTGTTGGGAGGAAGGGGAGTAGGAGGAACATGAGGATGGAGGATGGATGTTGACAGTCACTTTGAGTGTAGAGAAAATGGTATCAGAGAGATTGGAGAGTGAATGAGGGATTGGCATGATTTTGGGGGGTCACATTTTGAAAGTTTGAATGTCCAAGAGTTCTGGTGCAAGTATTATAGGAAGAGTGAGGTTGGGCAGGAATAGGTTAGGCAGTGATCTCAGTCAGGGTAGATACTGCTCAAGCTTGGGACTTGGATGTAACTATGACAAGGCATAAATGATGTGGAAGGAAACTTTGCCTACATGTTTTAGGAGACATTATTGCAAGAGGAGGGCATTGTTGGAATAAGGGGCTGTAGGGGGAATTAAAAAAAAAAGATCCTTTGGCTGGGCTAAAAATAATAATCAGAGGGTTTGTAGTGGGGGAGATAGTAAAAGGATAAGGATGAGGGGAAGAGGGAGGGGTATTGAGTGAAGTACTACTGTGGGGAGGCAGACAATATGGGTGGAGATAAGTAATAAGGGAGTTGGAGGTTGAAAATGAAAATTTAAGGGAGTAGGAAGCATGAAGATGAAGTATTGTGCTGAAAACGGCAAGAATGAGTTAACAATTAGGATAAGTGGACAGAAGAAGGGGATGAAGAAAAGACCATGCAAAATTAATTGAGACAAGGGCTGAGGACCAGCAATGACACCAATGACCCAGGGATTAAGGCCTAATGTAGGTTAATGGTAAATGGTTAAAAGCAAAATAAATATGCTAGACATCTGATGTCATGTAACACTATAAGAAGGCATAGTGAGGGGAAGTTGAGTTAGTGGTTAGTTGCTATACATCAGCTATTTAGATTAATTTTGAAAAGGTTAAAGCTGGGCAAAGGTGGGGCAGCCCCTATAAAATACATTATTGGGGTCGCTACAGTTGGTACATGTGTGTTACTGTGCAGAGGAGTTTGATCTAGTGTGACCAGGTTGTGCACATAGAAGGCATCTGGCTGTGGAACGGCAGTGTTTGGCAGGATGTCCTAAATGCCAACAATTTTGGCACTGGTGGGGAGGAGGTTGATATGGTCGGAAAGGGAGGGATTCTCCATCAATGTAAACAGTAAAGGGAAGGTCATGTCTATGGAAAATAATTTTGGCAATGTTAGTAGGGTTCCTATTACCTCTGGGAGGAATGTAGTAGTACTATTCTGATATCGTATCATAGTCCATGAGGCAGGCAACTAAGTCTTCTCCACAATCTGACCAATTTCTGTTATAGATAGGGCAGTTGGGGAGATAGATAGTATTGAGGGTTGGATGAGGTTCTGCAGTAATGGGGTTACCAGAGAGATCACCTAGAGTTGATAATGCTATAGCATGGTTTTCAGATGGGAATGATTGGTTTGGCTATGGAAAGAGACTTTGCCTGCTTGTTTTTGGAGATGTTGCTGGAAGAGAAGTGTTATCAGAGTAGGGAGCTGTGGAAGGGATTATGAGAAATCAGTCCCATTTGGCTGGACTAAATAGAGTATTTAAGATATTTGTAGAGATGGGGGTAGTAGAAGGATGGGGGCATGTGGAAGAGGGAGTAGTGTTGAGGGAGGTAGTATTATGGAGAAGTGGACAATAAGGCTGTAAAGTAGTAATAAGGGAGGATGGGGTAGTTGGTGAAGGTTGTGGGGGTAGAGGTGATGAAGTTGAGCATGTTGGAAGAGTAGGAATGTCTCCTGGAGAATGAGTATTGGTGGATAATGTACTAGTAGGCATTGAGGAGGAGGTCGTAGTTGCAGTGTTCGGAGTAGTCAAGGGAGAGCCTGGGGTCAGGGAATTGGGAGAGTTTGAATTGGTGGGGGTATTTGATGAAGGGGCAAGCCTCATTGCTCCTAATAAGTTTATAACATCTTTGTTGGCCACAGTAAGCCTGGAGTATGCTGGGGAGAAAAACAGTCCACCCCTCAGGGTCCCCTTGAGGGGAAAGGGCTAGACAACTAAAACAGGAATACTGTGCCCATGGGTCATTTAGGCTGTTCAGGACTGGCATAAAGTCAGCCTTTCATCCATTCAGCATGGTTCTCACATCTGAGGAAGTGGATAGCAGGAGTTGGGGAAGGGACGGACACAAAAGAGCAAGAAAGAAAAAAAGACCATGCAAAATTAGTTGAAGTCGAAAGTTGAGTCCCATGGCAGGGGAGTTCCCCAGCTTTGGGTTCCAATCTTTGCCTTCTAACCCACCTCCCCACCACCATGACAACAACTGGCAAGGGATTAGGGGAGGGGGGGGGGCAAGGTAGGACAAATGCAAAGCACAAGGCCTGTCTCCCCCCCATGACAATAATGGAATGGGGGGGGATCATATAATAATAATAATAGTATATAGTCGATTGCAAACATGTGAAGAAGGGTTAATACATGTAGTATTAACAAGTAGTAGTATAACAAACATTATAATAGTAATTAGGGGTGTTATTTTAATTTATTTCCTTACATAAAGTATCTTTTGGTTGCTATATTGGTGGTTCCATTGTGTTTAGCTGAGGTAGTACATGTTTATAAAGGAATGCTTGGTAAAAGTATCCACCAACAAATGAAAGGGATCAAAAAATAATTGAAGGCACTAGTTAAGTAGGAAAACAGGCCAAATTATATGTCATCCCACCTTGCTGGCAATAACAGCACTTTTATCATTTGTTTCCCTCAAATCCTTGCCTTCTTTCTTTTTCTTACTATAATTAAAATGAAAAGGATATTAAAACAGTAAAATACATCTTTGAGTTTTACTTTGCTTCTTTTCCACTAAACTGCGTAAAATATTTTATACATCAGTTAACATTCC